TCTTTCGCGAAGAATGGAGCTGCGTTGGAGTGTTTGATAGTATTTTGGGTGCTGTTATATCGCTACACCGTACAATTTGTAGATAGAAAAGGCTGAAAAAGTTTTGAGGTTAATGTGTTACCAATAAATCAAGCATAAATCTTGAGATACTATTTTAACCTGGTGAAATGTAAATGTCACAGGGCACGAAACTATATTAATTTCTTTCTTTTCTTTTTTTTTATCCATCTGGACCATAGAACGGGACTCTCAAAGCCTTGACATCCGGGTATCCGGGAGACAAGTCAGTAAATTCGAGTAAAATCACAGGCGTCGCTTATCCCGTGCGAATGCACCACACGAAATTCAGAGGAGGGGGGTTAATTTAAAAATCACACAAGGTCTCCAGATAATACTAATCCCGTGCGAATAGGGCTATAGAATCAATTCTGAGGTATCACTTTCAACCCCTCACCCTAAACTTCACAAATAATAGGCCTACTTTTAATGACAATACACAAATCTGAACTTTCTGTGAATGAGTATCGTGGGCAGGCGGGGATTATGCTAATGTGTTACCCAGTGAGGTAGATCGGTAACAGGCAGAAGATTTAAAATATGACGAGCGATTCTGAGTCGACTTTCTTTTGAGAGACAATATTTTTATTTATCATGCACTTTTTTGATTACCAACTTTGCAGACTGTTTACATTGAAGGACAGCTACCTTACAAACTGCAAAAGAGATATTTTTCGAAAACCCATATGACCTGCTCTTTAACAAATCAATCTTGATAAATTAATTAATTATGATCAATGTATCACTTATTATTGTAAAACATCGATGCTTTTGGATTTAAATCTTTAACAAAGCATGCAAACAAACGGCCGCTTTTATCATGTTCGTTTTGTGATTGCGCTAGTTCCAGTGACTTATTTCTTATTAGTTTTCTGATAACTTATCTTTGTTGGTGAAATGATGGGGTTGTGTGACATTGTTCCTGAGAGGCGTGCGTGTAAAGGGCGAGTTTTAGTGAAACGCAGCGGAGCTTCTGTCCCGACGGTTGAAACGCAGCATGATTTTGGCCTCTGTGCTACAGGTCCGAGGCGGGCTTGCGGCAACCACATGTGACGACCCCGGGCTGGACTCCGCTTCGTCCACGGTGAAAGCCGATCCGGC